GTATCAGTGTCAGTGTCAATGTCAGTGTCAGTGTGTTTTAGGTAAATAAAAAAGACAAAAGCAAAATGTGCACTATTGTTTCAGGGCGGTACTACGGGTACAAACAACACATAACAAACACATATATGGTATCGCTGCGATTGTCCGGAGCTGGATAATTTATTTTGGGTTGTTTTTGGTGGTAGGATATTGCTAGTAACAAGAAACACACACCTAAATAAAAAAAATTATTTTTTTTATTATTTTGGGCCAGTTTTCCTTTGATAATAAAAAAAAAATCAGGAGATATCTATTACCATTTACTACCAAATGAAAGCCCAATTTGTCCTGAAAAAAACGCGGTATAATTCTCCTGGATGTACAAAGTAGTTGTGATGATATGTACGGTTTTACTAACACGTGTCAACATTTCAAAATTGTGCTTAGGCATTTAGATTTGTTTTACCCTTAGGCGTGAAGGGGTTAATTGACGAAACTGAAGTTAGAAGCTTACTATACACAGCTACACATGATTATGTGTGCACCAGTTTTAGCACCCCCTTCATTGTTTCTAGGGCTTAAACATACATTTTTGCTCTGGGCTGGTATACCCAATGATTTCTTTGTTATTTTTTTCCAAAAGGTTCATAAATCTGAGATGCGTCAAATTGAGGCACATCAAAATTTTAAAGAGTATCATAAATGCTCTTTATCAATTCCTCAGAATCTGTTATGGCAACCTACTGGTGTATTGTAGTGATTAAAAGCTTTCAGCACTATGTAAATAAACAATTTGTTAAATTGTATTTTCCTTGGATATTAGAGATCACTTGAGATTTCTTGAATATGAGGTCAGATTTATAAACGAGAATAATGCAATTAACTAAATACATTCATTATGCATCTGTTTGTCTAATCTCATTTCCCAAGTCACAAGGCTGAAGGTGGATGCTTTTGAAATGTAAAATCATTGCTCTGAATGTTAGCAGTAGGACTGCCTTAAATGTTTACCTACCTGTCGGTCTTAGGATACTCTGGATGCTCGCTGTGTTTGCTAAAAAAGGGATAAGTCAGATCCTCATTATACAAAAATCTAGCAATCAGTAAAGACAAAAACACCCTACAGATTCTATTAAACTAGGCTTAGCATGCCACACTAGAGCAGTAATGTCGAAATCATTGCAAGGAGCATTACCGTATGCTTACAATGCTCATGCAGGCTGACAACCATTCAGTTTTTACACTTTATATAATTTTCTCTGCAGCTTGTGAATTCTTTTCTAAAATGTGTATTATTTGTGAAGCACAATTGTTTACTGTTTATTATATTTTCAAGTACAAAATTTTATATTAGGTATTTAATGTTTTCTCAATAAAACACAAGAACTGTTTCACTGTCAACAGTTACTTTCAATTAACCCTCTAGACCAGCCATTCTCAACCTTTTCAACACAGAGGAACCCTTAAAATGACTTTTTACTCTCGGGAACCCCTGCTAAAAATTGCTGTATCTACAGCTCATGATACATTATTGTGATGGTCGGTGGGAAGAATGTTCCTTTCACTTGTGGTCATTGAGAAGAATTACCCCCTTATAGATAGCTAAAAATATCAATGGTGTCAGCGGGAACCTATCTGAGAGGCAGATATTGCTCATTGTTCAAGGAACCCCTAGTAACTCTGGAGGAACTCTGGCTGAAAATCCCTGCTCTAGACACTGCTATACAGCTTAACACTTTTTATAAATACAAACACAGTAAACACAGGCAAATTTTCTTGGGCAGTACAGAACAGGTAAAGGACAAGTGGAAGGATTTGTTTTTTACTCCTCAGTTTTCTCTCCTCCCTCCTTCTTGCTTTTTGCCTTTTTCCCCCTCTCCTTCCCCCTCTCCTTCTCTCTGTTCTGTGTTTCTTTTTTCGTTCTGAATCAATGTGGAAAGCATTTTGGGATAACAGGAATAGAAAAGGAAACTAAAAAAAAGATACTTTGGCTGTGATATATTATGACCTCAAGTTACCAGCAGTCCTCTACACATAGAACACATTTGTCCTCTACCTAAGGGTAGGTTGGTGTGGATCAGGGGTGGACTGACCATTTGGAAACTTGGGCACTGCTGCCCGAGGTCAGTAGGGGACTCCATGAGATGCCCCTGGTACCTTTTTTATAGGTTTTTTGAGTTTGGGCAAGGACAATGGGGGCCCCATGATCCCCTATTGCCCGGGGGCTCCATGGGTTCCATGGTGTGAATGGTGGTCCCAAGGCTCATGATTCCAGTCTGGGATTAACCTTCTATTTTAGCATAAAGTCTCAAGGTTTTTACCTTCATGCATTCTATGCACGGAGGTACAAAACCTTCTGTATGCAGCATCCCCTCCCCCCAGTGTCTCCCAATACTTATCTCAGCCCTATCATGACCCAGAAATATGCACGAGAGCCTCGGCTCTCTGGGCACTCTCCCTCCTAATTGGCTGAGAGAGCAGCCAGAGCCATTGGCTCCCATTGCTGTCAATCACAGCCGATGAGCCAATGAGAACAGAGAGGAGCGGGGCGGAGCTGAGCCATGGCTCTGTGTGAATGAACAGGCAGAACAGTGGCTCTGGAGCGAGCCTACTTGGGTGACTCTATAGCAAGCTGCTTGCTCTGGGGGCACTTGGCAAGTAGGAGGGGCCTGGAGCACCTGCAGGGGACCCAAGAAGAGGAGGATTGAAGTTGCTCTAGCAAAACCACTTGTCAGGAATCTAGGAATGACCAGAAAAGGTGTGGACTGACACAGGGAAATGCAGGTTTCAGGTATAGTATAATAATACAGTTTATTATTAGCCACCCAGATATATATATAAACGCACAGTGAACAAACCAACCTTCCACTAATCTTAGTAGGTGCAGAAACACAGGCGTAGTCAGGGCTGGAGAGGTGGAACGGTCAGGCCGGCCGTAGGGTTCTGTAATGACCGTTTGGTGGTACCTCTAGCGGTCCTCAGGACAGGATTCCCCAGGGCGCGGATTCTAAGTCCCAGTCTGCTTATTCACCAGGGCCCCTGATGGTGGGGATGAACTTGGAGCAGACAGGAACCAGGTCGCGGCCCCTGAGTACACCTGCTAGTGGTAGAGGGATCCGCCAGAGGTATGTGCAGGTAGAAAGCCTGATGTGAAGAGGCAGAAGGTGTGAGCAGGAATGGCTGGATCCGTGCAGGATGGATGGATGGCAGAGTAGTTAGCATGGTCAGACGGGCCAAGTCAGCAACGTGCGGGCAGCAAGGTACCAAAGGAGCAGGCAGAGAATGGTCAAGGTCACAAGCCGGGTTCAGTAACTCACGGGCAGCGCGCGCGGTACAGGGGATCAGGCAGAAGGATGGTCAGGCAAGCCAGGGGTTCAACAGGAGACGGTCAGCAGAGGTCAGGATCAAGCCGGGTCAGCAACAAAGCAGGAACACAAGATACCAGGTACAGAGGCTCATGGGAAAACATACACCAAGGCCCAGATCACAGGCCTGGTCATGCCTTAAATACACCTTTCTGCAATCAGCCCCAGGTTTGGCTGATTTCACATGTGAGCTTCTGGCTGCTGAGAGCACCCGCTGGTCAGCTCTGGTACTGCAGCCCACACGGCAGATGAGTCCCACCACCAGTGCTGAGTCCATTCCTGACACCACTGCACAGAGCAGGTAAGTATGACATGTTTGTTATTTTTAAAATATGCCTTTAATATCACTTTAAGATTCACAGAACCTAAGGAAGTGGGGGGTGGATACCCACAAAATGCTTCATAATTATTAAATTTTTTCCCCCCGAGTGGAACCTAATTTCCATCTGGGGGCCTTACTGTTGAATACAGGGAAAATACATAGTGATTGACTGTGAAACACATGGAAATATGTTTTATGTACTGTATCCATATTATAATATACCTGTAAAACCTATGGTACTACATTCACATCACACTTGTTTTAACTTTTTTATAATAATAATAATAATAATAATAATAATAAAAAAGGTTCAGTTTTGACAGTAGGGCATATTTTCCAGTACAGTTCTTGGCACATTTAAAGTCTCATAACTAGAATTATATGTGTTTGTATGTATCGATCCTAGGGATGTTGGTGCCTATCCACACAATCCAGGCAGCAGATATATATAGGATTAACTCTTTTCTAGCAAACTCTGAATTTAACCGTTTCATAACTAGAGGTCTTTGATGCAATAGTATATGTCAGTTACCTTGACAGGTAAAAAATTTTTACATATTTTAAAGATGTATAAGGCTTTTATTTGGCACATTGAATTTTAAAAAATAGCATGACCTTTCTTTTTTTTTAATATAGGTTGACTAACAAACAAATGGTTAAAAAATATATTTCTTTAAAAAATGCAATATTTAAATTTAGGATTGCATCTTCCCATTGCAGTATTAAACAGAGACACACAGCCATCTTTAGGCTGATGTGGCTTCTGCAAACTGTGAGGTTTGTTTGCAAACAAACCTGAGAGCATTCTTGTGATCACTAAGGCTACATTGACACCTGTAATTTAGGCCAGTGTGAATTGCAGCTACAAGAATCTTCTGATTTCTGCTGCTTCTGTGAGTATCTAGGTGCTGCCCCTGGCCTTGTTCACTATAATGACAGATTGCCTACAACCTATTCACTGCTATCTGCACAGCCAGAGATTAGCTGCAGTAATTGCTATTGGATGCACACAAACTGCATCCAGCAGTAATCAATACAGTAAATAGCTAGCTGTGAGGACAGCGAGGAATAGTTACAGCCCCCAGTGACCTGTCATTTTAGTGAAAGGGGCTGACAGGGGCGGACTGACAACTCATGGGGGCCCCGGGCAATAGGGGATCATGGGGCCCCTGTGTCCTTGCCCAAACTCTCAAAAAAAAAGCCTATGAAAAAGGTACCAGGGGCATCTCATGGGGCCCCCTACTGACCCCGGGCCCTCAGGCAGTGCCCGAGTTTCCAAATGGTCAGTCGGCCCCTGGGGGCTGATGGATGTACCTAGCCACTCACAGCAGCAGCAAAATCAGAAGATTCCTGCCGCTGTCATTTGCACTTGCCTTGATTGCCTCTGTGAATGTAACCTAAAGGCTTAATGCATACAACATTAACATAAGAATAATCTTTTTTAGCGGTGTGACACTGTAAGCTTCATATTTTATTGGACTTGTTTTGGTGGCTTTGTGAATTGAGGTGTTTTTTTATATCATAGTCATAGACAGATAGTCGTTTTTTTGGCAAAGTGATTATATGATTGGGGATCACACTGATTGTTTTCTATTTGTAGGGATCAAAGCAGTTAAATACAGCATCATTGTCAAATGGTGATCATATAATAATTATCAAAATGGAGAACAGAGATTTATCTAAAAAAATAGTTAAAACTTTAATGTTTTTTAACTTTGTATGGCATATGAAGGAATTATTGCTAATTCCAGAAGGAGAAAATATTTCAATTATTTAGTGTTGTCTTGTCTGTGACTCCATTAAAGAGATTTTCTTCATCTCTGATCCCTAAGACATAAGAACAAGAAATGGGAGTACTGGGGTCACCAGAACAGAGAGGCCACAGCTATTCCCTCAACATAGCACAAAACGTAAGAGACCTCTATTTTAAATATTGTATGGTGCCTACTTTTCTCAGTAGTATTTATTCTTGGGTTATTTTCATGTTTTGGCATTTGTGTAAAAAAAATGCACCTTGGTCTAAAAATGATTATGGACACCATTTCTTCTAGGCCCTTTAACATTATCCATGCAGTGGCTAAAGCAGACATATAGGGTGTCAGTGCATCAGAGCCTATAGGTACCTATAACCTTTGGCGCACAAAGCAACCCATCTTTACTAGAAACATCATTTTTTACAAAGAACAAAGAATATTAGTGCTCTTAATCTGGTCTATGCAATGCTTAAAAATCTAATAAGAGATGACCACAGCTATCTTAATGATGATAAAAAAATATTTTCCTGGTACAAAGGAGAAGCTGCTTCTATGCCACTGCTGTCTATGCACACATGCCTTCAATGCTTAATGTAAAATCCTGCCCTGCGTAAAATAACGTATAAAATATATGAAAACAATGAATATCAAGAGTGAAAAATTTGGTCTGGTCATTAAAGATTCCACCCATTCCACCCACACCAATTACACCCATTCATAGACACAGAGGGGTTTATTTATAAAGCTGGAGAGTCCAAAATCAGACTCCCTTCTGCATAGAAACCAATCAGCTTCTAACCTCAGCTTGTTCAATGAAGCTTTGGCAATGAAACCTGGAAGCTGATTGGTTTCTATGCAGAAGTGAGTCTGATTTTGCACTCTCCAGCTTTAGTAAATAAACCCCAGAAAGTCTTACCAGCCCTCTGCCCCCACCCCAATATAAATGCCTTAAAAAAGCACATTGGTCAACAAACATTCCCACCAAAAAATACTTACCTCAGGCTCCACTTATAATGCTTTCAGGGGGTGCAAATGATGTCAACATGCCTGCCACAAGAGCTAGATGCTTTAACATCTGTGAGAATACAATAGTTTGTTTTCATTGGATCTCTGTTTAAAAAAGTAAACCATAGTATCCTCCTTTCATTGTAAATGATTATCATTCCATTCATTATAATTTGTTATCATTATACACACCACAAAATGTATTTAAACAAATTACCCAAACACTGGAAAATGATGGTAGATCATCACATCTATCCTTCCTCCATTCCAATGATAATCCCTCATATAATGGTGCTTAGTATAAGTATATTTGGTACATAAGTGTATTTATGGCTTGTTACATTGAACTGGACCATTAAATAAACAACTAAGCACTCAGCCAGAAAATCATTCAGAAAGCTAACAAAAAAGCAAATTCACTTTAGTTGTGCTAGATTCCCATCTGTTAGCTTAATCTCTGTAGCATGTGCTAGGATATTAGATTTTTTTTTTTCTTTTCCAATTGAATTTAATCAGATTTGCTTGCATATCATGTCAAACAGAACAAGTAAGGATTTATTTTGAATCTAGAGTATTGTAAGCTAAAGAGAACAAATTCTTATCAAGATAAACTACAGCATGGCATCAACATTTTTTCCTAAATGAATGTAAAATATTGCTTTAAGAATACATTTAAAAAGAAGTTGATGTATTTTACAAAATATATACTGTACTTATGGGTTTTCACTTTAAATTGCTTAACCCTTTGAGGACCAAGGGACGTATTTGTCCCATGTTTTTAACTGCGTGTATCATCTGATTAAGAACTTAAAACTCTTTTTTTTTTTTGGTTTGAGTCAAAATATTAGTTCTTATCAACAAACAACAAATGGATCTAGCTTTTTGCCAGTTATTTCATGAAATGGCTTAGTTACAGCAACTGAAGTGTACGAACTTTAAAAACAAAAAAATTGATTCTTTTGGCGTTCCAAAATCTTACGGTCCTCAAAGGGTTAAAACAAAATTCCTTCTGTTGAGTATTAATAAGATTGGTATCAGCTCATCGCTGGTAGAAATAATTGTTAGGCATTGCCCTTCTAAGAAACGTGATTGAGGAGGAATTTATCAGCAAGCTATATTCCTTCTGAATGGTCACATCCAGTATAATGTAATAGAATTATCCATGGCCGGCACTCACATGGTAACATAAGCATACATTTACAATTTACATTTTCTGATAAAAGGTATGTGTGACATTATCTATAAAATGTTATTCACATTTTATTATGTTACATGATTATTCTGAATTAAATAAATAAGAGGAGAAAAATCTGTACTTTAAAAATGTTATGCTTCAAGCTATTTATTGACACATAGAAATAATGCACAATTGGCTCTGTATATTTCTGGTTTTTATAACTTATTGGTTTATATGGGAATGCAGGGCACAGTTGGAAACACTCAAAAGATATATGACTGCAGTACAAGACTACAACACTCTTGCTTTTCTCCAGGTTATCCTGTATTGCAATTTGGGAGTGCCACAGCAGGTTGTTGAGGATTCACATTACAATGTGGGGTTCCTTGCAGTGCCAACTTTTAAAACCCAATTTAACTTTCAGTTTAAATCAGTTAAATAAAGGTCCATCATAACAAGTGTGCAAAGTCACATAGCTTATTTTCCTTAGAAAGCTGCCACAGAGTAAAAGAGCCGGCAAAATGGTTAGCACTTCCACCTGACAGTACTAGGGTCATTGGTTTGAATCCCAGCCACAGCACCTCCAGTTTGCATGTTCTCCCTGTGCCTGCATGGGGTTTCCTTCGGGTACTCAGGTTTTCTACTACACTCTAAAGACATGCTGGTAGGTTAATTGGCTCCTGTCTAAATTGGCCTTAGTATGTGTATGTATGAATGTTAGGAACCTTAGATTGTACGCCCCTTGAGGGTTAAGGACTAATGTGAATCTACAATATATATAAAGCACTGCATAAATTGACAGCGCTATATAAGCACCTGAAATAAATAAAAATAAATAAATAATAAAATAAGAGCCTGTCACCTGCCAGCATTCTGTAGAGAAGGTCCCTTGCTCTCCCCATGGAAGCAGTTATATCTTTGCAGTGGTCCAGCATAAGCACTTAGTCAGAATCAAAGCCAGTGGTGTATTTAGGTTTTGCGCCACCCTAGGCAACACAAAAGTTGCCCCCCTGCAGAGAGAGCCTGACATTGACCAACAACACCCCTGCCCCCCACCCAAAAGAGCCTTCAACTACCATTGCCCCCATACACCAGCCACCATCCCACATGGCGAGAGAGATAAAGACACTCACCTTCACAGCTCCAGCCATCCCAGAGAACGAGAGTCAGGCTGTGCATACGCCATGAAACCCACAGCCTCTCTCGGGACCCACCAGGTCCCCATGCCATGTGTGTCCCATTTTCCGTCCCTTCGAGGGGCAGTGCAGCCCTCCCCTGAAAAATGCCACTCTAGACAAATGCCTTGTTTGCCTTGTGGTAAATACACCCCTGATCAAAGCTCTCCAATCAGCAAAGAGTATGAGCTTTGCTGATTGTAGAGCTATAGGTCTAACTTGACAGGAGTTGTTTCAAACCTCTGCAGAAAGATAGCTGCTTCCAAACTGAGAGCAATAAAGTTCCCTGCGTGTACTGCAGAAATGTATCAACAAATAAATAGTGCAGTCTCTGGGGCCAGTTTGGTCATATGAACAATAACCTATGTAGTTAATATTCTTGGGAGGAAGGTAGAGTGCCATGGAAAATCCCATGGAAATGTATGCTGTACATACAGCCTTTAGGCAGAAACCAAGTCAACTAGAATTCAAGCCAGGGATCGAGCTGTAAGGTAACACAATTGCTAACCACTGCTGTTTCAAAGTGAATACTCAGGTTTTATCACGTCTTCTAGCTCCCATGGCTTTAGTTTTCTGTGGTTGTTGGTTGACATTTAGTGCCACTGCTTAACTTACTGTTAACCTTTATCTCCAAGTCTTTTCCCATATGTATTCCATTCAGTGTAGCTGGGTAATGTTTTTTCCACAACCTTTATTCATGGCCTTACATTTGTGGACATTATATTTTATTGGCCGGTTATCTTCCCAATTTTTCCAACATCTTTTTTGTAATATACCACTATGATGCTCAGTTCTCCAAATCTACTTAATTTTGGATAATGTGTTGATAACCAATTATTAATACTTTTTCTCCTAGTTCATTCTTCTCTAAATTCTTTACCAGACTGTTAGGACAAAGAGTATCAAATGTGTATTCAAAAATCTAAATATTTCACAGCAGTAGAATTTCCAGCACCCAAATTTCTGTTGGTAAAAGGCAGTGATGAGTTAACTTAGCAAAGTTTACTTGAAGAAATTAGCAAATCCCTAATAGAGCAATCAAACTTTGTCTATGAGAGCCAAATCTTGTTAATATTTTCTGGCCTTTTTCAAGGTAAGTTTGCTACTTTTTTGCTAAAATGGTCATGGGTAGCTGGGCACTGACACTGGAAGCAATGCAAACTTTTTTTTTTTTTTAAACTAAACTAAACTCTAAGCAGCTAAATATTTTATTATAATTAGTATATTGTATATATGGGATAAAACAGGTACTCTTAATACCTGAATATGTTCACATTTGTTTCCCATAAACACGTACACAGCAGGTCTTAGATGAAACTGCAGCAGG